TTAAATGTTGTAAAACTAATAAAATAAACCACTATAATATCAAGTAAAATATTGGAGATATTAAAGAAATAAATAGAGAAATAGAGAGTAATTATCTTATTATTCCAACCAATACAAAAAATCTCGCAAAGGGTGTCAATATACCTCTATATATAGGTACTACAAGATTAAAGGTACATTAATTCTATTAAACATCCACTACTATAAGAATATGAAAAAACTTATGAAACGGTTTTTCCACTACATGAATAGATTTATGGATTGTAATTTCTATACATAATATAGCTATAAATCATGAATTAATCATCTTGAGAATACAAAAGGACATCCACATTTTAGTTGTTTCATAACACTCCCTCTTGGATGTCCATTACACAAAGAATATGTCTCGTTAAAACCTTACTAGGGAAAAATCTATCGGGACAAAAACCCTGGTGAAGGAAAAAGAGTACACTGTTCCTGTATATTAATTTCTTCCCATGATGCAAATATCATTTGAGATATTTTAATCGTCACATTCCAATATTCTTCGCCAATTGCACTAAGATATGGTACTTCAGAACAAAGTATCTCTTCATTTTCCTCTCGCGGTCTAAAAGGATATTTATTAGGATCTAATGATCTGACAACCATTGGAGTACTTAATATGTGTCTTATCCATATAAAATCGCTTTAATACCTTTCGGATATAAGTAGTTTGGTGGACAAAAATTTCACTTTTCAAATGCTCAATTTGTAAATCAATGTAGAATTTTGTTTTTTCAAAATTCTTGATCTCAAAATCCTTTTTCAAATATTCAACATTATTTTGAATCTCTTCAGAAGTTTCAATCAAATTTAGATCATCAACATATACAATAATTATCACAAAATTTAATCCATTTTTCTTGATAAAAACATATGGACATATTGGATCATTGGTATAACCTTCTTTAGTTAGACATTCATTGAGGCGGTTATACCACATACGCCTAGATTGTTTGAGGCCATACAAAGACATTTGTAATTTAATAGAATAAATATCTTTAGGATTTGATTTGCATGCTTTAGGCATGTTGAATCCTTCGGAAATTCTCATATAAATATCATTTTCAAGATTTTCATATAAATATGCAGTAACGACATTCATTAGACGCATATCTAATTTTTCATGTACTACAAAACTCATAAGATATCTAAATGTGATAGCATCCACTACAGGTGAATACGTTTCATCATAATCAAATCTAAAACTTTGTGAAAATTCTTGAGCTACAAGTTTTGCTTTATATCTCACAATTTCTTTTTTCTCATTTCTCTTTATCACAAATACCCGTTTATATCCTACTGGCATTACACCTTTAAGTGTTTGGACTACAAGTCCAAAACTTTTCTTTTAACCAGTGAGTGTAATTCAGATTAGATCACATCTTTCTATTTTGGCCAGTCATTTTTATACCGACATTTATCAATTGATTTAGATTCATAATCCTCATCAACTTCTATAATATAAAGTGTTACATTTTATTAGGGTCCAATTAAATTTTCTATGATTTCATTCTCTTCAGGAGTTGGCTCTTCAGGAGCGACCTTTTCAAGAGATTGAATTTTCTCATGACATTTATTTAATCTCCGGAGTTATTCGAAATCAATTTATACCTTATTTAGGTAGGTCGGCCTTAAATTTATTTGTAGCACTTGTGCATGTCCTTCAGGGACATCAATTTTAACCAAAGTATTTCCTGCAAGAATAGTTGATTTAATGACTCTTGTGGAGTCAATAAATATAACTTTCCACACATGAAGAATTTCTTGAACTTCTAGTTCACATTATTTTGTATGAGAATCGAGGAAATTCAATTTTTCAGGTGATTTTTTTTCGATTGATTTTTTCTTCCCTCTAATGTCGGAAATCGTAGTTCATCAAAATAAATAAATCATTCAATAAATCACTCATCAATATTTTACGATATTTAATAATAAAAGGTGATTTATACCCGACATAAATTTTAAATTTCTTTTAGAGTCATATATAATATAAAGGGGTATGTATAAATACTTGTCGGCTCTCAAATATTCTCACTTTTGTCAAATCATATATCCATTGGGATCAGTAAACTTCTGATTTACTGCAGGTGATAATTATAAATCAAATGAGAATGAAGACAACTATATCGATAATCATTTCTCTCTCAAATGGTTATTATGATATAATTAACCTTTATCTCATTTGATTTCTAAACATAATCTCTATTATTGTCTCATTTAATGTCTCAATTTGATATCCATTTCAATGGATATTCAAATTCAATAAATTTTTCGAGACATGGTAAAATGTAGTGCTTTATTTATGATAAACTTTTCTCTTACAGGGAAAAATATAGTAGTGACTCTTCTGGAGTTTTTAATCACTTAAACACTACAACTGATTATGTTTGTCCCTCTCATTGGAATATAGTGTATATAGTAACACTTATTAATAAGATACATATCATTGTCACCATAATTCTTATGGGACAAATATCATTATCATAATCATGTGATTCCAAATATTTAACATCCATTTTTTCTTCAGCAAAAAAAGTCAATTACTATTATAAATTAAATCAAACATCATACACCTTCAGAGTGTTTAAAGAAATTGACCATGTGAAAATGCTATTATAATTTTGATTCCTCATATGTACTTCGAGACATTTATCTTCAGGATCCTTATTTTCTTGTCCTCATCATTATTATCCCACTTTAAGTGGTAACTTTTTCTTTTGTCATGGTAAAATATATATTTACCAAAATCATAATCATGGCAGTAATTATAACTAATAAATTGAAATTTAGTCGCATTTACTTCTGCGAATGGACTAGAACTAGTATGCAATAAGTACAAAATACTTCTCAAATTTTCTCTCAATATTGCTATTACAAGAGCATATTTAAGAAATATGTAGAAAATATTATTTTCAACTAAAAAATAATTCTAAACATAGCATAATTATGTACTTGCAACCATAAGTAAATTTATCATATCAGGCTTTGAAATAATGACCATCTTTTTCTTTAAGTATTTCAAAGAATAAGTGGATCCTCAAGCATAATTGATTTTCTATAATAGCATTTCCAAAACTCAATGCATCAGAATATAAGTATTTATAACAAATAATTCTAAAGATAAATAAGTAGAATTAAAAGATGAAATATTACCTCAAAGATGTCAAAAAGTATCTGTTCTTGTTTAGTAGTTGCTCAGTAGTAGACACTTGTATTTTACAATCATTCAAAGGTTAATCATAATAAATTGAAATAAATTTATAGGTTAGAAATTTACCTCAATAAATAGACAGATGTTGGCGGAAAAAATATGGGCAGAATCTCGTGTTTCACTTTTACTCAAAATAAAGCATCCGTTTTTACCTTTTATTCAAAAGTAGAGACTCGTGCTGATAACGTGTTGTAAAATTAATAAAATAAACTACTATAATATCAAGTGAAATATTAGAGATTTTGGAGAAAAAAATAGAGAAATAGAGAGTAATTATCTTATTATTCCAACTAATACAAAAGTTCTCATAAAGGGTGTCAATGTACCTCTATATATAGGTACTACAAGATTAAAGGTACATTAATCTAATTTAACACCCGCTACTACAAGAATATGAAGAAACTTATGAAATGGTTTATCCACTACATGAATAGATTTATGGATTGTAACTTTTATACATAATGTAACAATAAATCATGAATTAATTATCTTGAGAATACAAAGGGACATCCACATTTTAGTTGTTTCATAACATTAAACATTTGATATGTATTTTTATTAAAAATTCTACTAGAGAAGTATCTTTTAATCAGCTACCGCAACTCCAAACGAGCCCTTAAAATCGTTAATTGTTTCTTAAAATCCTTTCATTTCAAATTGTTAGTTGTTGTGCATATGCATGTTATCCTTTACAATTGATAGTAAAGAAATTAGCTGAACGCGGACTCTTAACATGGTCGAACATGTCATCCTTCAAAGAAAAAAAAACATGGTTGAACGCGGATTTCGTTGTCTTATCTAGATACTAACGCGTGTTTTACTTTTAATATACAGGATTACTCCAAGTTTGTTATGCACAATGCTAGGCAATTCAAGTGACTCGACCAAACATGTTCATCAAACATTTTATCTGGATACATATATATATATATATTTACTATTTAATTGCACTTAACCTAAACTTATTATAAATATCATCCAAAAAACTAGATATTCATATAACACAAATGCATTAAAAAGTACATATAAACAAAAATGCATATACATATATAAATAAAGAAATGGGTCCTTTGATGGTTATTTTTTGGAAGAAGCCTTTTTTTAAAAGTTTTTTTTACTACAAATATTTATTTAAAAACCATTTTGGAATGTTTGTTCATAGAAAAATATCAAGAAGTAGTAAAAATTTCACAAAATTTACACTTGAAATTCAAATTTTCTCTATAATCAAAATTCCATCTTTTGATTTGGTAAAAAAAAGCTTGAATATGAGAAAGCGAGTTGTGAACAACGAAAAGGTTAAAACGTATGACCATAAAATTGGGGAAGGGCACACTATAATCAAGACAAAGTTTTAGCTACAAGATATATGAGAGAAAGAATGATAGAATAAGACATGAATAAGGCTATGGATAGGGCTGCAAACGAGTCGAGTCGAATCGAGTTTTGGACTTATCGAGCCAAACTCGACTTAAAAAATAGGTGGGCTCGAGTTCGAACTCGAGGTCGACGAGCCTAGAGAATTAAGCTCGAGCTCGACTCGACTTAAAAAAACTAAACTCGAGCTCGACTAGATAAGGCTCGCGAGTTGAAGCTCGATTTCTGGCTTGCGAGAAGCTCGAATCGTGAGCTCGATTTTTTGACTCGTTAGCAGCTCGAAAAGCTCGAATTTTTGAAATTAAATATAACAAAAACATCATTTTATCAACTTATTCCTAACCGAATTCTGAGCATAATCATAGCTTACAATTCATGGCTACAATTGACCATAATTTTTCACATGATCATAATCAAAAAAGGCTTACAAAAATTTCACTAAATACAATCATAAATTTAGAAATACATGCCACATAAAAGTCTAGAATTTAAATGCCTAGCACTTCATACAAGTTCAACATTCTCGGTCACAAAGTTCAATATCAGAAAATAAGTAAATAACAACCAAAAGCTACAAAACATATTGAACTACAAAGTACAAACTAAGCACAATCATTGAAGTCATGAACTTCTTCTCTTCCTCTGATAAGCAACAGAAACATATTGAACTTGGATAAGTTTGAAGTATTATGTGAGCCAATCTACAGAAACATATTTAAAAACAAGTACATCAGAAGGAGCACAATCACACGAGCCAATCTGATTCAACTTAAATCAAGGTAGTAGCATATTCAATTTACATCAGGAGGAGTACATCAGTAGTAGCCAATCTGATGCAATTCGCTTAACTTGATAAAAGAGCCTCTAAATGGCAAGGAAGAACATCTGCATCTGCATCAATTTTCTTTGTACTTGCATATTACAAACTAGTAGAGTGAGATTTAACTGAAACAAGCGCAACAACTCATCACTGTACTATACCATTAGGAATTTGAAAAGAAAACAGAGCACCTCATAGTAAATCAAAAAAATAGACAAACTCATTTGTCATAGCCACTTGAGCTAAGATCTAGCAATTAAATTTGCTCTTTTGCAAAAGATAACAAACTACCACTTTGTTAAATTGTCAACCTTAAGAATTTCTTACAAGTCCAAACCTTAACCGTACTATGCAAGAAGCCAACCTCATGTCCAATAACAACATATGCCAATCATTCTATTATAAAACCATGCACCTTTTACTACCACAAAATCCTAATAAAGTAGGCCAACAAAGTTACATTAAACATACAGGTGTTATCGGCAAGTTTTTTTACACAAATAAGTACATATTCTACTCCACAAAAAGGGCCATATCATTTTTCCTTTTTTTTTTGGCACAGCAAATAAGCAAATATTATCCAAGCCAAAGAAATCATGCAAAAGACTGGACACCATAAATGTCAATTCAACCAATGTTATCAAAATGAAATTTGAAAATTTAACCCAAACAAAATATCAGATTAAAAGTCAGAATTACCACAAGTGAAGCTGCGACTCAAATGAAATCCCAGATGCAACGTAGGAATTAGCCGAACGCCGAACAACCCAAATGAAATCCCAAATCCCAGTCGTTAGCAGTCGTTAGCCGCCGATCCATCTGAAAGGAAGAAGGACGGTTTGCAGCCCTAGTTAAGACGCGCCGAATACAGATGATTCGTCTGAAGGGAGGAAGAAGGACGCTTTGAAGCCCTAGCCGATCCGTCCGAAGGGAGGAAGTCGTTGATGGGTCCGAATACAGCTGCGCCGAGGAGGAAGTTGAATTGCTTCGAGAAGAAGAAGGTTTCTCTGAATTCGTAACCCTGAAGTGTTAGATTTTTTATTGAGGCCTGAAAGGTGGCGGTGGTGGCTGTGGTCAGTGTGGTGCACTCGTGGCGGCGGTGGCTAGGGTTTGTTTGAGAAAATGTGAAGGAAAGAAGAAAGAGAGATGCAGGAGAAGTAATTAGATTAGAGATGCGGGAGAGATGAAGGAAACTGTGAAGGTTAATAGGGGTATTTTTAGTAATTTGTTATATTAATAGGAGTATTTTTATAATTTCATAAAGCTCGTTGAGCCGCTCGACGAGCTAATGAGCCTAAGCTTATATGGCTTGAATTCGACTCGATTCATAAACGAGCCGCTCGAGTTCGACTCGAGCTCGAATTTGACCGAACTCGAGTCGAGTTTCGACTCGAGTGGCTCGCGAGCGGCTCGAGTCGTGTGCAGCCCTAGCTATGGGAATGGGTAGGATAGAGTGCTATTAGCCAATTAATGACAAGAAATATAAGGGGTTATTATACAGGATAAATGGAAAGGTGGTGTAGGAGGTAATTACGAATAGAGCTGCAGGGTGGGAAAAATGGTGAGAATATGAAAGAGTTAGAGAGATGGTGATTATGTATTTGTTTAGTGTGCTTTAATTTTGGATGTTTCTTAAAGTACTTTTGTGCATTTTTTAGTATCTTTCAATCTGTTTAGGAGTTTTAACGTAAAATACATTGATACAAATTTATATTAATACGAAATTCTTTTATATATTTTAAAATTTTATCTTCACATAGCTTTTTTTTTATTTTATAAAATAGCATTATTATTTAACTTTCAAAATGAAGATGCCCGCGTCGAATTTCTTGCGTGATAACTTCTAAACTTTGAATTTGATAGATACTATATGATTTGAAATTTTTATATTTCTTTTTTAGAAGGGGAAGGTAGATTTTAAAAACCAATAAGGAAAGGGGAAAGGAGTATTGAATCAACAATTTTTAATTTTTTGAAGTTGCAAACTTAGTGCGAACATCAAGACTTCTTAAACAAGAGACAAACAAATATAATTTCACGAAGGGATAATTTCATAAACCTCCCTTGAGACTTTTAACAAATTCATTTAGCTCCCTTGAGATTTTTAAAATTACACATACCTCTTCTATCATTTAAAATGATAATATTACTCTTAAATATTTTAATGAAATTCTCATATTTGGTAAACTTGTACTTAGAATGACTTTTAAAATTATTTTTTCATTCTTTTTCCTTCTTATTCATTTTTATTTTAATCTTTTGCCAATAAAATTATAGAACAATGCTATTACCTCTAGTTTCTATTGTAACAAAATGTCGAGCTGGTGATTTTTTTTTTATGAGCTAACTTTACATGTAATCCAATATTTTTTGCTAATATTTGTTTCTATTTTTTGGTATTAAAATTAATAATAAATAAAAAAGAAATAGTCCAAAACCACTACTAAATTATAATAATCTCACTACTCGAAAAATTTATAAACTCTAAATTAATTATTTTAACTTTTTTTTCTATCTCATAAATCTAAATCTATAATAAAATACCATCAGAAGTATCATATCATAGTGATAAAATTATTATTACAGTTGTTTATCAAATAGTATGTATAGATATGAAAATTTTAGCATATTTTTCTTATAATTACACTAGATAATCTTATAATTGTATAAAGAAATAAATTAAAATTCATTACACGAGCATTTTTTGGATATTTATTTAAAATTTTGATAAAGTTGATATTATTTTAAGATTTTGTTACTAAAACTGTCAAATCAAGAACAGGAGGTATAATTTAATTTTTCAAACCTCAATGGAGCTAAGTGAAATTAACGCATTCACAAAATAATCAAAATTGGACTTGAATCAGTTTACCACGTATGATGCACTTGTCCTTAAATTTTTGTGCATGTGTAGTACAATAGTATTTATTGTTACGGTGGGAAGATAACATGGAACATATGGTTGAACCGAGCAGAGATCCACAGGCCACCCAGACTCCACCAGTGGAAAGATGGTGGACCGAGGAGGGATGGATATTAAACTAACTGTCTCTGCGACCCAGTTATCACTTGTCAGTCTCACAACCAATTTTAAATTTGACCCTTGAGGATGCTCACCTCGGCCACCGTCAAGGCCGAGGTCATCTTGCTTCGTCCGTCATACAGGCCGAGATGATATCTCTTAAACATGATCCCTGGGCCTGGCCAGATCTCTGGTCTACGGCATAAATGACATCTGTACCTTAGGCATTCCACTTCGGCTGCACGCTGGTGATGTCAACCTACCTGACAATACGGAACCAGTGTTTTATCTGAAAAACACCAAATGCTCTTAATGACTACTGCACAGGACTCATCGTCAGCATGTCCATACTGCTACAGTGTCAGAGTCAGACCTCCTGGTGCGGGACAGAGCCGTAAGGGACAAGACGTGGGTCCTACTAGCATAAGCCCACCGTCCTGTCCTCCACTCCTGCCCTATAAATACCCTCTATTCACTCGCAACAATTCATACCCGCTCTTATTTTTTCTTGTTCTCTCAATATGCTGACTTAGTCGTCGGAGTGATCCCAGGAGAGAAGCCCCGCCACTCACTTCGGACAAGCGAATTCATAACACCTCACTTGAGAGAGGACTGATCCAGGTCGGTTCAGATACCTACCAGAAATCACCTCTTTAACCCTCTTCCCATTTTCTTTTCCTCTCATTTGGAAAATGCATTTTACCTCGTCTTCTTCCCACCTACCCCTACCCCCTCCCCCAAATCAAAAAGAAAAAAAAAAGTTGTCTTACGTTTGGTTTGAAGGCCACTCAAATCGATTAAGACTAATTCTTGATGTCATCTAACTATTGAGGTGGGTTCTTTCAAGGTTTATATCAATGGTTGCCGTAGCTATGCATCCCTCGTAATTGGAATCTTGCGGGATGGGTGAAATCTCCAGCATTGCGATGTTTGCCCAAGATAAAATAGGCTAGTACAAAGCCAACTTGTATAAGTAGGCACGGGGCTTTTTTTTTTTTGGTCAAATGTCATTTCTACTCCTACTCCTACTCTTACTCTAATTGCGAGGAAGTTCAACTGAACCTACGGAAGACCGATGAAAATAGAACCACCACCGGACCAGACAAGTGCACTACGCACCCGTCTGGATTTGAAGCAGAGCCACAAGAGTGGCATTTTGGTGAGAACCCTTGCCTCCCACCCCGCCAAACCCTTACCAAAGCCTTAAGAGCTTGGGGGTGACTACCAGCCCAAGGTATAGAGCACGGGGCATTAGAGTATAGCAATTTGTCATGTTTCAGTTGCAAGGTATAAGACTTGAATTCCACGTTGGAAGCATAGGATTAGTGATCTGTCTGAATGACGTGAATGCAAGATCATTGGATTCTTGGATATAGGATTCGGTGGTCTAGATTTTATATATATAATGCCAGAGAATCAACTATGTGCTTCTTTCGTAAGCCACACAGGAAAATATGACTTCCACCTGCATCATTAACTTGGTTAACGGCAAATGTCGCCAAACCATAACCAATGCAATTATATTCTTTCCCAGTAAATATCAAGTGAACATACCCAAAAGGGCCTAGTTAGGTGTAGAATATCTTCTACCATGACATCTAAATAGGAGATTCCTTGCCTCCGGTAACTAGAGTTTTACAATCAGAGTGAACTAAGATTGATGTCCAGGGCCATAATCAGTGCAGTCCTAATTGTTCGTTGTTGCGATAGCCCACGTGGTGACAATTCCGCAAAGCTTCTTTATATGGTTTCGGTCCTTTTTCAGATTAACAGCAAGCTTTTGAAACTCAATATTCATATCATTTTCCACCATAGACAATGTGATTAATTCATCCTTCTTTGAATCACAACGAGAATCCTTGATGTTTACTTCATATAGCAAATTCACCATCTTGTTGAAGTGCAAAACACAATACACAACAGAACACGAATAAACTAAAACACAAACACCATACTTAACAGAATAGGAATCAACCAAAGGCTATTAGCCTTTTAGTAATAGGTCGGATTGACCTTGTTGATCAATACTCAGAGGGAAGCATCAAGGTATACCAGTTTAAAAGTCATACACCAACTTTACATTATGTTTCTACAACTAACTAGTACAAACAGACAACTAAAGTAGTACGCTCTTGTACTATATACACGAGATTTACAGTCACACAATACGCGCCAGAGGCTACATCTGCAGGAATCCACTCCAACTCAAGTGCTATAATATTACAAAGGCTATGCAGCTGCAGCTCACAGAAGCGTTTGATCAGACATCATGAGGTATAATCTGAGTTTCCAATAATGAGTTCAACTCCCTGGCCGTCTCATGGCTAAACTGAATTATTCCACTCACAGCAGATAAACTGATATAAGACATCAGAGAGTAGGCGGACAAAATTGATCAAAATTCTAGGACTACATCCATATTTAAGATTTCCTCAACCATTCTGAATCAGATCCACGAACACCAGTTAAGATGGAAGATACATAATGCTCGACTCCTTTGAATTTCACTGGTTCTACAATATTTCCGATGGAAGAAGATGAGCTCTCAAAACAAGTTGGCTTTGGAGTCGAGGGACAGCCAACAGACAAAATCAATTCCTCAACAGCAAGCACGCGGAACTTCGGGGGTGTGTGCAAAGCAATGTTGTGAACATGGTGCTCGTATATCTTCCCATTTTTGTCGAGTTTGTACTCAGATGTACCATCAAATCGACCATGGCTCTCCCATGGAACTCGAGGAATGCCATGAACAGTCCAACGGACCATTATCATGTTATCCACAGGCTGCCATACACTGATAATGTCAATCCACAAGGCTCTGAAAAATATTCTGCCATGGAACCTTAAACCCCAGAATATTGATTTATAGTTTTCAATCCCAGCAAATGTGTTGAGGGGATCCTTAAACACTATATCATCCCTATGCACAAGAAGAAAGGAGGCAATCAACAATAGCTCAAAAATTAACAATTAAGCAATTACAACAAAATTTGAAGTTCAAAGATGTACAAGCCAAGATAAAGTTCGCAATTTGCAGAGCCAGATTACATCAGACCTTCAATTATGCATGAAATAAGCAAGATATATCATGTAATTCATCAACACACAAGAAGATTGACATACAACGCGAAGTTACAATCAAGTAGTTTACTATATCCATGGAACTTATCTGCTGAACAAGTC